TGCTAGGAGCAGCATAAAGTATTTTACTTCACGTCAAATACATTCAATCTGTTCATCATGAGAAGCATGCTTTTAATTTTGCTCGCTGCTTTCATCGCAGTTTTTGGAATCATCGAAGCGAATGCCGATCCTGAAGCCAGTCCACTAGCTAGTCCACTAGCTAGTCCACTAGCTAGTCCACTTGCGAGTCCACATGCTAGTCCATTTGCTAAAGCCAATCCAGAAGCAGTTCAAATAAGTATTGATAAACAGTTACATTAACCTGACTAGTTTTTATTTTTAATGCATCAGTATATCTTATGCAGTAAATTGCATAATGTTTATTTACAAGAACATTTTGTAATTGAAATGTTTTTTGTTTTTTTTGTTTCAGCGGATAGAGATGCCCATTGCTGTTAAGAAATTGTTTGATTAACTTTTCTTTTGTTTTGAAAGTAAATAAAATGTTCTTTATAGCATGTAAGAATTATCTCCATTTATGATAATATATAAATGAATTAATAAAGTTTTATTATATATCAGAATCGTATGACCGTTCTTTTCCAATGACCTTATTGCAATTTCCTTTTTTCTAATACTTTATTTTATTATACTCACATTTTTTTCACACAAAAGAAATATTGGTAATTTTTATAAAATCCTTAAGAGATTACTTAAAAAGAAAATACTCTCTGTACTTAACTATTGGATTATCTAATTTTATCTATACTTTTCTTATATTTTTATTGTATGATTCTCATACTATATTTAAAAATCTTTTGAGAATTTTTTAAGTATATGTAATTTACTATATACAAATATATATTTTTAATCATATTTTATTTGTTATAATTTCTTTTACTTTCTAAGACATAAATTGCTATTCAGGTAATTCTCGCTAAAATTGATCACAAAAATAAAGGATAAATTATAACTATTATAAAACTGTTACGTTACCGAACAACTTTATGCTCTTTTATATGACATTTTTATACGGTTTTCCTTGAATACTAATTTAAATCCTAATCGTTAACAATTTCAAAGAAAAAATGATACCTTTATGTACTTCGATAAGATATTAGAATAGTAAAGTTATTTTTATTACGAGTTGCATCACGAATTATATAATTATTTTAATAACGAGATCAAACGACTAAAAATAATTGAATTTTTTATTAATTTAATCTCTACAAACGCTGCAATAGTTTGTAATCAAATGCATAATAATTCAAAATCAGAGATCTCGAAATATAGAGAACATAAATATATTTATTTGTCAACAAATTTTCATGAATCTGACCCGACACTTTCTCCCGAACAAACCTAACTCAACATGAAAAGAATTCGTCATGTCATGTATCTGCACATTCTTAACTATTATTGTCAGTAATGTGTGAATAATACGTGAGTAATAAACAATTGAAGTAAGTATAAACTTGGTTCATTTTTATAAGTTATCAAATATCCTAGTATGCATATTATTAGTTTTATTACAGAGAAACTTCGTGTTTCGTGATCAATGTTAAGAATTTTATCTGTATTATTAAAAGTTATATTTCACGCATTTTCCATTAAGATATCGGTAATGTTAGTTTCGTGACATATTTGGTCACGAAGTGTGATACTAATTTGTA